GAGGAGAGGCGAGGGGAGGGGGATGAAAGCGGAGGTTGGAGAGGTGGGGATAGGAGGATGAAAGCAAGGGGAGGGAGCGCGCGAGAGGCGGGAGGGAGGACAAGACCGGGAGGGGGAAATGGAGAGACTGACGGTCCTGGAGAAAGGAGTGGGGCGAGGAGGTGGGAAGGGGTGGAGTTCCTGTGAGGAGGGACCTTTCCGAATCCCGACCTACTGCCTGCGAATGTGGAGTCTGTCTTTTGGGGCGGACTGGAGGGATGGCCAGAATCCTACTGACCCTCCCATCCACCTCCCCGTAAAAAGCCTTGAGATTTTGCCAAGGGATTGGGTGGGGGTGGGGGAAGGGAAAGGCCAGACAGGTATTTGAGAAACCAAAAGCTTAAAGAAGAGGAAGAGGTTGGGGAGTTACTTCCACTTAATGCTGGATTTCCCCTCTCATCTTGCATCTACAGTCTCTGCGTGGCCTTGAGAGGGAATGGGAGCTGAAAGGCCAGACCACCCTCTGTCCTGCCCTAGGCTGACATTTGTGACCCCTGCTGGGTTCCTCCCTTCCAGGCTCCTCCTTGTGCTGGGTGGGGAATCGGAAGCCCTCCAGTCTCCTTTCCTCTCTTCAGTCTCTGACCTTTCTTATATATCTACCTCACATCACTTTTCTTCGACTGGTCCTATTTCTCATCTCTCCTCGTTCGTTTGTATCCTCACAACCACTTATAACTCACATCTCTTATTCTGTCACCTCTACTTCGCTTCTCATTTGCCCTCTTCTACCCTTCCATCGCTGATCTTTTTCCCTCTCTCTCCCAGACAACTTGTTGGCTCATCGAGTTTGTCACCTGGTCCTATATCGTTAGCTGATTTTCCTCAATTCCTCTTCAGGTCCTATTTTCCACATTTCCCCTCTCTTTCTTTTCCTCTGCTGCCATCTTCGCCAGCCTTTCAAAATTATGTTTGCCTCCTTTGCAAGGGGTCCAGGTATGGAGTTCCAGCTCTACCCTACTCCAGACATCCTCAGTTCCTGGTCCTCAGTCTCAGTATCTTTGAGTCATTTTGAGAAACTTGGGATTTCAGGTGACAGGAACTGGAGTGTGTGTTAAAGGTCAAGAATGTGGATGGGGTAGAAGGCTAGGGTTTGGGAAAAGATATTTTTGGTGTGCACTGCTATATTTGTCAATCATTACCATTATTAGTCTTTTATCATTTTCGTAATAAGACACATTGATCGAGCATCACCATTTAGTATTTGAGTGCTTAAATATACCATCTGTTGGTCCCTTGATGTACACACCTCTCAATTTCTTTTTGACTCTTGTATCAGTTTCTCAGTCTCCATCACCTCAAAAATCTTGGAGCCCCACCCAGGTTTTTCTTTGCCGAACTCTGTCCATCTTTCTCTGAGATCTTTCCATCTCTCTCAATCTGTTTCTCTGACTCACCCACTGATGTCTTTAACGATCTCTGACCCTCTCCATCTCTGTACTCTCTGGCTTCATTTCTCTCTCTCTCCCCCCTCTTTTGCCCCCCCTCCCTGTCTAGCTCCCACCCCGTCA